GCGTTTGTTGAGAAAACTGACATTAAGTTACGTTGCGCTACATTAAAGTTGCTGTTCATCACCTTGCACGTCGAGAAGCAAAAGGTTCTATTGATCAAGTTCTTTGAAAGAACCTGAGCATGTAGATTCAGAGCAACGGCTTCATTGAGCTCTGCGGCTTCGGGTTACGTCCACGGCACTTTTGGTTCACTGATGCGATGGGACAGCGTTTCGCAACGTCCTTTTTAACGGGTGTTTGAAGTCCGTACGTAACGACTTCCTATTCTCATAACTGCACTAACGATTGTTGATCAGTCTATTAATTCCGTCTAGTCGATTCTACTGTTACGTGAGATTGGCGAACAGCTTTGCGTAGGATGGTGAATTCTATCCTCCAGAAACCTGCATAGATAATCATCTGCGGCAGGCAACTAAGCACAGTGCAGTGGGCTTCCTCGCTCGACGATGATACTGGGGGTCTCTTTCTACAGTTAGCACTTACGCGCTCTGATGATCACCGACGTGATGTTAGGGATTCACGCCAAGTATTCGTTCAAATAAATGCCTTCGAGCTTGACGGCATGCACACGTTAAGTGAGATTGGCTCTTTCTTTGTTGATTTCTCTTTCGTAATTGTCTGCTTAGCAGCCATGTTGACTAAGTGTTTTCATCATGCACATCAGTTGGTCAGAAAGGATTCACCTTTTCATATCGAAACACGGAGTAGAGATGCATCTTTTCACTACAGATTAAGGTAAGACACGGTTAGAAACCTGGAATAAAACTCTAATGGGTGAAGTTTTCAGAATTCAGCACAAAAATATATAGTGAAGTTATTGTGGTTATGGAGATAAGCAAGTTTACAATCAAACATTGTAATGGAGACAAATAAGAAATGCAAAGGAAGAAAGGGGTGAAAGGGAAAGGTACAGAAAAGGAAAGGAACTGGAAAATGGAAATATACAGAGATTAAAAAGTAGAAATTAAATTATTTAGGATGAGGTTTCAACTAGGGAATAAATCTTTGAAGCTTAGTTCCTCATTTACACAGGCTTACACCATAAGTTTTAATGTAACCCGATTCCCATATTATGAGACCAGCAGTGGCGTTGTATCGATCCAAGAGTTTCACATTCTTGGTACTAATGCGATGCATTTTATCGTTACCGTGCTTTATGTGCATTAGCCGAATATTCTCCGTTAACACGCTCGAAAGCAGCCATGTGTTCTTTTAGACGTGTTTTAACCCGTCTGTCATCGCGATGTATATTTTTTGACAATTTTAATAATCTGTTTGGTAGACAGCCCAGTTTTAAGCAGATCCTCTGTTGCAGAATGTTCGCCATGCAAGATGTTGCGTAGGATGATGCCATTTTTAGAGGTAACTTTTAATCCTGCTTTAGTCAGATAGCAACGGAGGGATTGAAAAATTCAGACTGAAAGGTAAATAAATTATTGTGATTAGGTTTAGACTGAAAATGATGGTTATTACTTGGGTGAAAGAGATTACTCTGGACCAAACATGCTGTCATAGCCATTGTTTTAAGGATGTACAATAGATATTGGATTTCAGCTTTACAAGCCGTTTGACTGTTGCAGTATTATGTCACCTTTCTACGCAAGTTGATGATAATACTTAAATATGAACGGGTAACTGCGGCGCTTGAGTATGAGAAGCGATTGCAGCTCTGTTCCTTAAGATAGAGGAAAGCAGCAGAGATTTATTGATAAAGTATTTCTTGATCTTGATGTCTGAGAAAGCAATGGTGTTGTTTTGTTCTTCTTCAGTGTCGTTAATTAAGAAAGACTTAATTTCTTTGTCGTTTTTCGTTTTCTTCGAGGAACAGACCTGCAAACGCTTCTTACATCGACCAGCTCTCAGTTCATGTCAACAATGTTTTCATCAACTTGCGTAGAAGGGCGACGTCTTGTGGCAACAGTCCGTCGACTTGTAGAGCTGAAATCCAATGTCTGTTGTATATGCTTAACAGTAATGGCTGCGACAGCATGTATCTCCAGCATCTTCTCTTTCGCCCACGTAATAACCTTCATCTCTCAATTCAGCATAACCGTAGCATATTATCCTTACAGCATGAATCTGTTTCCATCGGTCTGTCGCTATCTGAGTAAAGTTGAATTCAAAGTTGTCTAAACATGGCATCTCCCTACGCAACATCCTGCTTGGCGAACATTTTGCAAGAGTGGATCTGCTTAAAAACTAGGCTGTTTACAAAATGGATTGTTAAAGTTGTCAAAAAATTTACTTAGAGATGACAGAAAGACGGGCTAAAACCCGTTTGAAAGAACAATTTTACTGCTTCAGAGCATGAAAATGAACAATATTCGGCTATTGTATTTAAAACGTGTTAATGATAAATTGCATCGTTTGAGTATCAAGGATGTAAAATTCTTGGACCGAGACCACACCTCTGCTGAACTCATAATATGGAAATCGGCTTTTGTTGGCCTACAAGCTTTTGGTGCAGTCTGTGCTAATGACGAATTCAGTTTCAACGATCTGTCCCCTAGTTGAACCCTCGTCCTAAATAATTTAATTTTTGTTATTTGATCTCTACGTATTTTTTGATTTTTCTAGCCCCTTTCCTTTTCTTTACCTTTACCTGTCACCGCATTACCTTTGCTTTTTTATTTGCCTCCGTTACGATGCTTTAAGTGTAAACTTGCTTATCTCTATGACTGCGACTTCACTAAATTTTGTATTTTGTGCTGAAGAAAGAGCACCGATCTGGGTTCTGAAGAGCTTCACTTATAAGGTGTTTTATTCCTGGCTTCTAACCGTATTTTATCTTAATCTTTGATCAAAGAGCCTGTATGTCTTTTCGAAGTATATATCTTTTCAGTATATTATTTCAAATTATGCACGAAATTAATTTAATGTTCTTGTTATAATTCATTTATTGAATGTAATAATAGATAGTAAGATTGAACTATAATTAATCCTTTCTAATGTACGTAAATAACTCAAAAATTTAGGTATATTAATAAAAAGTTAGTCTATGCAGCCGCAGAGAATAACACGCTTGCTACTTCTTCGGATTTAAACATCATTCTTTCACAGTTCCTTTATTTCTAGAAGACAAGTATAAATCTAGAGAAGTGACATATTCGAGTCTTTTTTAAATTATTTACCTAGCTTTCATAAGAAGTTCAGAATAAAGTATTATGATATTCATATATCTTATGCACAGTGAACTAGTTTTGCCCTGAAGAACTTAACAAAATCACTGGATATTCATAATTCGACGGGGATCCGTTGCGCCAACCAGAAATATGTTTCCACGCAAGGCGTGAAAAATTGCATTCGTT